CGAGGGTGTTGTTGATGCCATCCATGGCATTTGCAAAACCGCCTGCCAATTTCTCGGCTTGTCTGTCATTGGATTCCACCAATGCATGTGCAACATCAGCGAAAGTCCCCCCCCTGTTCCCTTCCGCTGATGAGTGAGATCTGTTGCGGCGAGCGCTTCCACCACCCCCCTCCGTACGTGCACTCTTCGACCCTTCACCGCCGTCACTCCCCTCGCGCCTTCGCAGACCGGGGCAGCCACTCCCAACACCTGTGTCATCATCATCCGTCACAACACTCGACCATCCTTCATTGTACTGAACGGAATTCATAACCCCTTCACAAGACCCCTCCGCCTTCCGCAATTTTCACTGCAGAGCATCGAACAACACAGGCAACCCCTCCTTCTTTCTGGACACCCGATCCATGTTCCAATAGATCCGTTCACCGGATCTCAAGTGAAAGTCACGGATCCTCTTTCCGTTGTCGAGCAGGCTGTAGAACTTGCGTTCACACTCTTCAACGATGCGGGGCTCGAACCCTTTCTCCACGAGCTTGGAAATGATCCACTCGTACTTCTCCTTCCTCGTGCGCATTTTTTGTCTTCCTTTCCTCTTCTGTTGCAGAGCGTCTTCCTGAAATAGATAGGTGAGCAGCCCCACTCTCTCGTCCGTGCTCCAATCAGGAGAACGGGGCTTGCCTTTTGCTGCAGGTTCTCCATCACCACCCCCTCCGCCTGGCGGTGCACGAGTCTTGCCTTTGGCTGCAGGTTCACCCTCACCACCCCCTCCGCTCGGCGCTACACGGGCCCTTGCGTTTGCAGCAGGTTCGCCATCACCCCCCCCTCCAACTGCAGGTGCACGCCAGATGCTGCCATCAATGCTGGTTATGCCAGACCGCCCCTGCACACCAAACTCCCCATCCGGACCGGCGCTGGAGCACCCTCCGTATTGGGTGCCTGCAATGTCCGCCACACCACCCATCCACGCATCCGCCACGTTGCAATCTGCTTTCCCATGAACTCCTTGAGGACCTCCATGTGATGGTGGGCCAATGTCCTTGCCGCCCAGGCTCCTCGAAGACTGGAACCGCAATGTGGGTTGCATGTCCGACCCACCGTCGCCGCACTGCAACATAGTCGAGTACGGTCCCCGTTCGTAGTCAACGGCCACCGACCCTTGGGCAAGGGACGGCTCTGATTCTACATCCATGGACAGTGATCCCTTGCTTCCCACCACCCTGTCGACTCGTGGTTGTTGACGTTGCCCACCGACACCTGCAGTCGGGCCACTAAATCCCACACAGTTCTGCCCATCCTGCGGCATTCCCCATCGGTTACTGCCTGGAACAGCAGGCGCTAGCGGAGTGAAGCACGTCGTACCGCCCTGCCCGCCTTCCACCTGGCTGCTCCACGACGACCCACCCGAAGGCGATGGCGGTCGCGTGCTCCCAGGAACAGTGGACGCTCGCGCAGAAAAGCATGTCGCACCGCCTTGCCCGCCTTCCACCTGGCTGCTCCACGTGGACCCCCCCGGGGTAGATGGCGGGAACGTGGGCACCTTGAAGTTCTTCCATATCGGCAAAGGCGGCAACGCGAACGGGAATTGAACCGCGTGGGCCGGCCCTGTTGCCGCCGCGCCAAATGCAGACGCGCCATTGTTCTCTGGTCCTTGGTGGTGGGACGATGCCGGCAGCGTGTCCTGCATTGCACTTTCCATCGATGACGCGGACAACGACGACAACCAGAGGGAATTGCCCTGCACGGGCCGGTCCATACGACCTTCGTGGACAACGCAGATCTGTCGTAATGGGTTCGACGGCCATAGTGCTCCGGCGGCAGTGAAGGTCACGAGAGAGAGAGAGAGAGAGCTGTCTCTTATACACATCTAGATGTGTATAAGAGACAGGTCCAGGGTTGTGTAATGCCAGGACAGCGGTCTGGTGTTGCCCTCGTCTGTTCCTGGGTGCATTCCAAGTTTTTGAATGGCTCCACCTCAGCAGGATCATTGTCGTGCCGAAAAACAAAACAAAAAAATTGAAATAAATGAAAACTCGTGGGGGGCTGCGCCTTGGGGTATGCGATTTCCACAGGTGGGTGGGCAACAAAGCACCTGCATAGCGGAAGGGGTAATGGTACAGTTCTCAGCCTGCAGGGGGGAGGGAGGGAGAGAGAGAGAGAGAGAGAGAGAGAGAGAGAGAGAGAGAGAGAGAGAGAGAGAGAGAAAGAGAGTACTCTGACCCATCCCACAAACCAGCCACTGTACATACATACTGCGTAATGGTGTCATAGGTTCATGAAGTGATGTGGGTCTTTTTCCTGTTTTTGTTTGTTTGAATGTGAGGTGAGAGAACTGCAATACACACACATCTATGATGCCGATGGGGAAATGGAGAATGAAAAGAAAGAGCTGCAACAAAACATGTTGCAAATAGTATCTCATCCTTTGCCAGAAAAACGATCATAACAACATGTCAAAAGCAGTTTATCCCTCAACATGGATCCGTTGAAGGTCCTACTCGGCACACGACGGAAGAACACACCGGATCCAGAACCCATTGACATTTGTCCAAAAATGAGGCAATGACAACTGTCGACAACCACGACGGAGGTCGGCCCTACAAAAACTTAACTGTCTGACAGAAATCCACAAAAACTGCAAACTGACTATTTGAAAACCAAGGGCGGCAGTACAAAGAAGAAGACATCGCAGGCATGTCAACGGACGTCACACTGACAGGCCTATAGCCTCCTGCCACCCGATGACGAAAACATCACAAACGAACAGCAGTCGACAACCACGAACTAAAAATTGTTACCGGACGTCTTGCATCCGGCGGGAGGCAAATCATTCGGCAGCGCTCTTGGATAAGTACAACCTGAAGAACGGAAAAAACAAAATTTAAAAACCAAAACTTCCGCAGTGCTCAAGCGCGGAGAACGAACGGAGGTGCAGGGCCGTGGCAAGGCCGGGAGGGCAAGCTGGCAACCTTCGACTTCAAAAAACGGACCCCGACATATGGTCTTGCTCGATCGCCATCACCCTGCGCAGTTGGTCAGCAACCGCACTGACATCCCGCCTGTTCGCGTTAGCTGAACTGTCGTTAGGTGAAGTCCGGGTGCGGGCGGGTGGTGTGGCCGGGAACGGGGAGCGCTCTCACGGGGCGGGTGGGAGACAGACAGGACGACACTGGAAACGGGACCGGAATGCCTGCTGCCGGGGCTGGACAATGTACTAACGAAATTATCTGTGCCACGCACAGATTCCCCTTCCTCGATGGCTGCCAGCAGTTGTTGCAGTCGCTGAACCTCCTCGCGACCTCTGCTCTCGACAATGCCATGGCCTCACGTGTGTTGGAACTCTCAACCTCCCCCTGCAACCTTTTGATCTCGTCGACCATACCGGATATGCGTGTGAAAAGCACACCCTTTTTCCTGGCCAGCTCGTGGGCCTGCTCGATCAGACGTATGTGGGTGAGTGCAAAGTCACTTGCCATGTCGACAACGTCTTTGACTTCGCGGAGGGGCGTCGAGGACATGATGCAGTTGCGGAGAGGCCTGGACGGCCTTCACGTTCCCTGCACCCATGCCACCAGCCCACCACACACACATACACGATGTCGTTAGATGACATTCAGCACCTTCGTTTGACAACGTCCTTGACAATTGAACCCCCCCCCCCCCCCCCCCCTCCTAACTGCATAAAAAGTGGGCGCATTTGTAATTGGAAACGAAGAAGGCAGTCTC